CCCACTAGATATGTACGATCATAACCTCTTATTTGAAGATAATTTATTAACCCCTGTAATTTACTTCGCGCCGCAAATAATTAATAAACCTAAATTTATATTATCAGAAAGAAAGCTTTTTAAAGCTATACACTTAACCCATGTTAGATCCTTTATGCATTTTTTGTTTAAACACAGAATTTAATTGTGGGTTTAGAAATATTATCAGAACAAACAACGATTATTTCTCTAAACAAAATGAGACAACTCATCTTTGCAATGGATACGAGTTCTGTTTTCTGTGATGCAGACACATAATTTTTAAACATTATTTTGGCAAACTCCGTGCTTAAAATGGGTTTAAATAAGAATAAAAACCATAATCATTATATTCGCAAGTCCACACGACGTTAAAACTCAGAAGACCAACAACGACATATTTACTGTCGTCAAAACGTTATATCTCGCAAAGCTCACATTTGGATTTTATGCGTCGTTTTAGATGCATACTTAAACCTACGATAATTCCAGGTTGTCTTGGAAAGGAGCTAGAAAAATTCTAGTTAAATACGTAGAGGAAGTCAGAGATTAAACATTCTGTGGAATTCCAAAGAGCAAACATGGCCTACTCTTCTTTCAGACGTTTAAAACAATTGAGTCACTCTGCGTGCTTCACACTTCTTTGACCGTATATTCTTTGTGATACGTAAGTCATATTTTTGATTAGATGATGTGAAAACGGTTGGGATTTTTCAGATTTAATTTCAGCTATAATAGTGCATTTAAGTCATTTAGTTAGTTTTAAAATAAGGTATTTAATCTGTAGTTTTCTTAAAACAGTGTTTAGTGTAAACATTTGTGAATAGTGAATTACAACAGCAATGGATATCATGGAACCTGATGTTGGCTGTTATTCAAGTACCGGTATGTAGTTTTCATTTAAATGTATTTATTAGTTTCTAGTTTATAAACGATGATAAATATGATTCTGTGTCTTACTTATTGTGTCGAGAGTTACTAGGAATACCAGGCCTTTCAATTGTTGATTACGGTGAAACTATATTAAACATTTTATTACGTAACTGAATTCTATTTCCGACGTTTAGATTGGATGATGATAATAGAATTATTTGGGAAAAGGTTCTGACAGATGTTGAAATATGCATTAAGCATGATTTGTGACCAATAATGCACCAGTTATATAATAAATTCTGAGAGAAAATTGTATTAGGATAAGGTTATGTTTGGCTTCTTCCCTGTGCTTCGTTGCGTCACATTAAAGCCGGGCCGTATTGGTTTTTAGAACTCAACATGATTCATATTGAACTAGGGCTTGCAATAGCGATTCCAAGAAAATAGCGAGGTATTATCTAAAATTACGATAGACCGGTTTCTTCCTTACATTATCAATTTGTTATTCACTAATAATCTTATCATCCTAAGTTACATGATTTAATCTGCTGATAGCGTGGTAAACTAAACTCACACACAAACAAATCTTCTGCATTGTTGTTAGTTTTCGCACTAGCATTGAAAAAAAGGGTCACGGCTTCGAAACACCGTAGGACTAAGGCAATAATTCGGAATTTTCACTGTAGCACCGTCTTATAAGCCCAGAGTTGAATATCTCATAAACAAAGTTACTCTTAAAGGTGCGCGTTTTCATTTTGTAGTAGCCATGTTAAGAACAAACCCGTGGATGAATATTGCCTCTTTAATAACATTTACAAACCCATAGTTTTTTTCAGAAGGTCACTGCCACGACACAATCATGTCTGTATTCTGATTATAGTTAAAAAAAAATTCTTACTGTGTATTGCATTTAAAGTTAGGTATACTCTTTTACCAAATGTTTCCATTTTGAAGCAGATGGAATTAACAATCAGAACTAGAATAAACCATATTGCGATACAATTAAGTTTCTGACAGAGATTTATACAACAATGTGCAGTTGAAAATTGTCTGTGTTTTTAAACTGTTTGTTTTAATTCTGTTTTACAAGGAATGATTCAGCATTACCTTTAAACAACAAACTGTGAAGACGTGATGTTTGGTATAGACTTTGACATGTTACTCTACTGCGACCAAAGTTTTGTCTTACTATTATTTTTCAATTGTTGCCTTATAACTTTGTTAAATATACGCGTACTTCACTGGCCTGCCCATATACCGGGCATCTCATTGGCATGGCGCCTAAAACTGTCATGATGCCTTTTAGATTTTTTGCGAGTTTGTATCTCTCGTCTTTTAAAGCAGATCACCTGTCAGATTGCAAGTGTCACTATGCACTTTAAGCGGAAGACAAATTACAACGAACTGAAAACGGGCATTGTTAAGCATTCCTTGAGTTTACAGCCGCGAGTTACAAACATAACAACTTCCATCTATCTGGAAACTAGTCTGCATGTGTCTGAGTAGCTAAATTCAATTGGGCTGTTTATGAATAATTATATGCAGAAATGAATATTATCATTTGTAGGATTTGACGTTTTCGCAGTGCTGATTCTGAAGAAAACTGTCTTCTGGGTTGTAGCGCCGTGTAATCTGGTAGATGGTTAGCGACGTTTCAGAGGTCCTTGCTGCCTCCATCACCCTGATTATGGCGGCAGCAAAGACCTCTGAAACGTCGGTAATCTTCTACCAGACTACATGGCGCTACAACCCAGAAGAGAGCCATCTTATAATATTATCATTATTTCACTGCAAGTTCCAGACTTTCAAGAACACCTTTTAGTCTCTCATTACAGGTTGCACGAAGCTCTTGATGAGTGACTTCCGTATTTATCACTCAAATGACAATGCACTTTAAGCGGCTAAAAATATAAATAAACACAGGAACACAGCTGATCTGCAAATTTACAAATATAATAACATAATTAAACTGTATAATAAGGCCTATGTATGGCAAATATTTAAGATAATGCATAAGAGTGGGGTTAGGAACTTGAGGCAGGAGACAGAACTATCTGACGGATAGTTTTCCCCTTGAATATAATAAACACTATTTTCAATAGTCTAATTGCTTGGTTTAATGTGTGAATTATTTTAATTGTGCCTGTAGATTAAAGGTGGGAACTGCGGTAGCTCAGTCAGTACAGTGACTAACTACGGACTGGACAACCGGGATTCGATCCCTAACAGGGGCAGAAGATTTTTCCTCTCGCTCCTGCGTCCAAACTGGCTCTTGGGCCAACTTACCACCCAGCCTCCTGTCCTGTAGATACCGGGGTACTTTCTTGGGGGTGAAGCGCGGTTGGGGTGTGAGGCTTCACCCCCCCCCCCCCCCCCCATCTGGTGCTGAGGTTAAGAATGAGTAGGAGCTACACCTCCTCTCACCCCACCCATTTGCCTACATGGCGTGCGGAAGGATAACTTTACATTTTTATTGTATATTAGCACATGCCACTAATTATGATATTTGTTACAGGGCCTCGACATGTCGGCAAAGAGGACTTCAAGATCATCAAACTTCTAGGAAAAGGAGGTAAGTACAACTTCCTGTTAACAGTCGGCCGATTACCCGTGCATTTCTCTGCTTACAAAACACGGACCTGATTTCTGAGTACTTACGAAGCAATGGGGAAAATGGAAGCAGAATAGGACAGCATCAGTGGCGTTTTTGTAAGCAAGAAAACTGCAGCTCAAACCCACTTCTGTAACAGTCACTGAGTTGATGTAGAACTGCATTACTGCAGGAAATTCAGAGCTATTACACAGTTTCAAGTGTTATTGTGTACAAACAACTGGCATCTAACTATAAAATTCATAAACTCAAGTCAAATCTTCATTAATGTTCCTGTAAAACTCTATCATCAGAATTATAGGATATATTTTCTTATTTAAATAATTTATAATAAATGTTTGAAAATTATCAAAGGTACAGATTTTGTCATCCTTGAACTAAGGCAATCAAAATGCTTTGCCAACATTATCGATCTTTCCCCGGTGGCTGACCACTTTCGTGATTGACTTTTCAGAATAGCAGATTGACAACGGCGAAGTGTTACCAATGCTTAATCGTTACCCTGATATTTTCTTTCATATCCGCTGCATTACGTTATGAATGATTTATGATTGAGTCCAGGGGCGTAAATCAAGATCGGCACCAAATGCATGGAACCACATTGACACTGCTTAACACCACGGATGCTTTTAAAGACATATTCTCTAATGCATCTATTAAGTAGGCAGAAAAGAAGATCAGCATTTTAGAGCGTCCTTCTTAGCCCATGATCAAGTGCAATGCAACTTAATCGGCAGTGAAATAACAATTTTCTCTTATTAATGTTATCGTCATTCTATTGTCGCGTTCTGGTTTACACTGTATCGAAATACCGTAACATCGGGAGTGATAAACACAAGAGGTAGTTCTTCTTATGCACAATGTACATTTCCTTTTACTTTAATGAAATCATATTTAGGGATCTTAAGAATTGTGTAGGCCATATTCTGCTTTTATTCATGAATGCTAAGAAATGTTAAAAGGTGAATCATTTACGAAATGCCAACATTTATTTGCGGAGACATTTAAAAACACAGTTAGAATTAATCAGATTATGCAGACAGCTCGCGAATGGGTGAAAGATCACTCCATGTAAGCACTTTAACGATGAAAGTTGCAATCATGAAAACTCACAGACCTAAACGGTATTTCACCTTGTTTCTGTCACCACGCAGGAAACAATATAATCTAGTAATATCCTGAGCACAAGGGATTGACCTATCGGAGAGTGTTTTAGAGCTTGTTAAAGAGAAGTCAAACCATGTATTTATGAATTTTCTATTCATCTTAAAGTTTTGGTATTGAAAAAAAAAATGGTAGAGTATCATAAATATCTGAAAGGAGACTTTGCTGATATGACAGCCCATACCTGTACAGATATCAAGATGAAACATAACTGAGATTCTGTTACAGGGTTTGGCGAAGTTTCCCTGGCGAGGAAGAAGGACTGAAGCGATGCCGGGAAACTTTACACCATAGAGGTAATGAAGAGGAGGTTACTGAAGAGAAAGGACATCGACCACGCATGGACGGAGCATCGCGTGTTTGAAAAAACGCGTGACTGTCCGTTCCTAGTGCAGCTGCACTACGCGTTTCTGTCGAATGAACGCCTGCATCTCGTAATGGGTGAGTACATCAAACGAAACATCACAGTAACTAAATGTGTAAGGTCCTCATACGTACCCTGTTTGTGGAATAATCCTTCGCTCTCCGTTAAATTATTTCACTTTTTAGTCTTCTGCGGGGCTTCGATTTGTAATTATACAGTTGCCGAATTAAACATACAATTCATCAGCATTCAGTGGCCTAAGAGTCCTCATAACAACGCGATCTCGTCTTTATTGTTGCAGATTACGTCGCAGGAAAAGACTTCATTGAACTGCTGGTGCAGCGAGGATGGCTTACAGAGAATGAAGCAAGATTCTTCTCTGCCGAAGTCAGAGTGTTTTAGAGCTTGTTAAAGAGAAGTCAAACCATGTATTTATGAATTTTCTATTCATCTTAAAGTTTTGGTATTGAAAAAAAAAATGGTAGAGTATCATAAATATCTGAAAGGAGACTTTGCTGATATGACAGCCCATACCTGTACAGATATCAAGATGAAACATAACTGAGATTCTGTTACAGGGTTTGGCGAAGTTTCCCTGGCGAGGAAGAAGGACTGAAGCGATGCCGGGAAACTTTACACCATAGAGGTAATGAAGAGGAGGTTACTGAAGAGAAAGGACATCGACCACGCATGGACGGAGCATCGCGTGTTTGAAAAAACGCGTGACTGTCCGTTCCTAGTGCAGCTGCACTACGCGTTTCTGTCGAATGAACGCCTGCATCTCGTAATGGGTGAGTACATCAAACGAAACATCACAGTAACTAAATGTGTAAGGTCCTCATACGTACCCTGTTTGTGGAATAATCCTTCGCTCTCCGTTAAATTATTTCACTTTTTAGTCTTCTGCGGGGCTTCGATTTGTAATTATACAGTTGCCGAATTAAACATACAATTCATCAGCATTCAGTGGCCTAAGAGTCCTCATAACAACGCGATCTCGTCTTTATTGTTGCAGATTACGTCGCAGGAAAAGACTTCATTGAACTGCTGGTGCAGCGAGGATGGCTTACAGAGAATGAAGCAAGATTCTTCTCTGCCGAAGTCATCTTGGCCCTCCAGCACCTGCACGAGGTAGGCAACCAGCACTCCCACTGAACAGCATAATAAGGAGGACGGGGCCACAAGACATAAAAGTAATTGGCTTCTGGATTTCAGGGCTATAGAATTCTCTTCAAATTCCCTATATTCGATTCTGTTACAGGGTTTGGCGAAGTTTCCCTGGCGAGGAAGAAGGACTGAAGCGATGCCGGGAAACTTTACGCCATAGAGGTAATGAAGAGGAGGTTACTGAAGAGAAAGGACATCGACCACGCATGGACGGAGCATCGCGTGTTTGAAAAAACGCGTGACTGTCCGTTCCTAGTGCAGCTGCACTACGCGTTTCTGTCGAATGAACGCCTGCATCTCGTAATGGGTGAGTACATCAAACGAAACATCACAGTAACTAAATGTGTAAGGTCCTCATACGTACCCTGTTTGTGGAATAATCCTTCGCTCTCCGTTAAATTATTTCACTTTTTAGTCTTCTGCGGGGCTTCGATTTGTAATTATACAGTTGCCGAATTAAACATACAATTCATCAGCATTCAGTGGCCTAAGAGTCCTCATAACAACGCGATCTCGTCTTTATTGTTGCAGATTACGTCGCAGGAAAAGACTTCATTGAACTGCTGGTGCAGCGAGGATGGCTTACAGAGAATGAAGCAAGATTCTTCTCTGCCGAAGTCATCTTGGCCCTCCAGCACCTGCACGAGGTAGGCAACCAGCACTCCCACTGAACAGCATAATAAGGAGGACGGGGCCACAAGACATAAAAGTAATTGGCTTCTGGATTTCAGGGCTATAGAATTCTCTTCAAATTCCCTATATTCTTTCACAGTACGTCGAATCATTTTTAATTTCTGTGAGAAATATCTAAATTCACAACAAGTGGTAATACCTGAATTTTAGCTTGTTTCTTCTGGGGAATGCTCCCCAGATTAGTAAGCAAGGACTTTGGTTAGTTCTGTCATGTCTGATTATTTAGCCGCCAAGTAATTCTCCGTAACCAGAAAAGTTCATTTTACAACTTTCATATCTCTCAATTCAGTGTAATAGAACATTCATAATTATTCTTTCTGTAGTTACCTAAGCGAGATTCATAGATAGTGATCTGCTGAAACATGAGAAATAGTTAATTAAAATGCACGGTGTGTAATTAAGATCGATCTACGAAGCCCAATGCCATATAACCCATATACTAACATCGTCTTTAAATCAACTGCAAAGAATACATAAA